TTCTGTCTTCCCTTACTCATTGCTCTCCTCTCCTCACTGAAGTAGAACTGACTCATAGGTGACCCTCCAGTGGGTTTCTGAGGCTGTAATCCTACCTTATCCCACAGGGCTGCCGGTGTATTTTAATTGTCAGAGAGAGGCACAACTTTTGGTGAACAGCATGACTCTCTCCTGACTGTGGCATCTGAGCTCCCTCTAGAGAAAACAAAAATTACCTGCTCTGTTTATTACTCAAGGCTCAGAATCCTTGTTAATGTGCAAGTTGTAAATCAGGATCCAAATGTAAAAAACCTAATCTGGACAGAGTACTGGAAAGCATCGATGTCAGTCTAGAGACTAAGGTGCACCTGATACAGGCCATGGTCTTCATAGTTACTTGCTATGCATCAAAAAGCTGAACAGTGACTGAGGTTGATAGAAGGAGAATTGATGCCATTAAGTTGTGATGCTGGAGAAGAGTCTTGGATATACCATGGACTGCTAGGAGAACAAACGGGTTCATCCTGGAGAGGGTGAAACCAGGCTGCTCCTTGGAGGCAAGGATTCTGAAACTTTGCCTGACATACTTTGGGCATGTTGCAAGGAGGCACCAGTCTTTAGAGACGGACATCATGCTTGGAAGGATAGAGAGACAGCTCAGAAGAGCAAGACCCTCGATGAGACAGATTACTCACTGACTGGGGTGATGGGAGTAGATGTGTTGGAGACAGTAAGGTTGGCTCATGGTGTAGCGGACTTCAGAGCTGTTGTACATAGTTGCTATGAGTTGCACGCGACTCAACGGCCCTTAACAACAACATCATCATCACTGGGTTCATTGGAAATGAAGCTACCAAAAGAACAAACAGCTGTTTCTTGGAAAAGATGCAGCCACAATGTTCCTTATAGGCTTTGGGCATGTTGCGAGAAGGGGATATTCCTTGGAAATGTGCATCACGTTAGGAAAGGTGAGATAGAGGAAAATTTTCAACAAGATGAATTGACACAGTGACTGCAGCAATGGACTCAAGTTCATCAGTGATGATGAGGAAGGTATAGGCGAGGTCACGGTTCAGATCTGTTGTTCACAGGGTCACTTTGAGTTACGTTCAACTCCATGGCACATAACATCATCATCATCATTGGGTGACCTGGATTTTTGTTTTTCCTCATCATTGAGTTCTTCTAAAAGTCTAATTTTTTATTTGCTTGTTTTCTTCATGGTGCCTGTAATAGAGTTAGACACTGTTCTTTTTTTTTCTGAATGTGTACACACTGTTAGGTAAAATAATGAAGCTTTGCCAGTGGTCAGAATCTCTACTTTGATGGATTGTGCAGTGGCTTACACACTGACACACTGGTGTCCACAGTCATTTCTGTGCCGGTTCGTGGCTGTGTTGCTGCTGCAGGCATGTTACACAGAACTCACAGCGCATGTCTTGTAAAGGGACAGTCAATATACTGTCATGGCCTTACCCTTTTCTTTCAAATCATAAATTTGATTTCATCTTTCACCATTCCATAAAGTTTTCCTTCTTCTTCCAAAATAGTTGAATTAGAAAATGCATGCAGCTGCCACAAGGCACAGTGAATTCTTGTTTTGATGATGGAAAATCTACATCTTCTCCAAAATAATGTTTTCATGTCAACATGGAATCGTGCTTTCATGTTAGTCCTACTAATAAAGACCTTTGGGTCACTTAGCACTTTCTGCTTTTTTACGAATTCAAATCCTTTCTGCTGCTTTTGGATATTAAAATAGCTAGGATTGTTTGAAAGTATTGTTTTCAGCTGAGCATTTTATTGCTGTAGTTGCAACATGATTTGGAGGAAAACGCCCAAGTTATTTTGGTATTAAAGCAGGAAATACATTTCTGTCTTATATTGAATTCTTACCTCTATTTTGAATAAGCCATGTGGAGTTTACTTTTAGTGCTGCATCGGGGAAGAGCAGTTGTGCTTGCTTGACTTTTTTTTTTTTTAAAGCTTTCTGTAAATAAATAATGTATGTGTAATAGCGTGCACTCTCTTGAAAGTGCGTAATGAAATGCTTTTTGTATAACCACAACACTTCACAGCCGTCACCACCACAGTCTAATTTTAAAACATTTTCATCACCCTGAAGGCAGCCTTCTGGGTCTACCTTTTTTCACTTAGCATAAATTTTAAGGCTTTAACTTAGTTTCATAATTCAAGGTTCTGTTGTGTTGTGGCGTATCTCAGGACTTTAGTCCTTTTTTGTGCTGTGTGTAATTTTGTAGAAGTGGTGTTGTTATTATTGTGTGTGCCATTGAGTCACTAGCAACTAATAGCAAAGTACAGTAGCTCTGAACCCTGCCCCATCCTGAGCCAGTCTCTGACTCTGACACACCTACCCCTATTTCCCCCGTTACCATGTCAATCCATCTCCTTCAGGATCTTCCTCTCCTGAGCTGTCCCTACACCCTTCTAAGCATAATGTACTATTCAAGCACTAGTCCCTCCTGGCCACGTTCCCAAAGTTATGTGAGATGGAGCTTCAAAATCCTTGCCTCCAAGGAGAAACTTGGTTTGACCCTCTCCGGGACAGACCTGTTTATTCTCCTAGCAGTCTGTATTGTATTCAGTGCTCTTCTCTGGCACCTCAGCTCAAAGGCATCAATAATTCTTCTGTCATCTTTATTCATTGTCCAGCTCTCTGATGCTTAACAAGTAATTGCAAAGACCATGGCCTGGATCAGGCGCACCTTAGTCTGTAGATTGTACCAAGTCTTATTTATCTGTCCAGGTGTTTGATTTGTTTCCAAATGCTGTTATGAATGACCATGATGTGCAGGTTTTTGTTTGGACATGTTTTCCTTTTCCTTGGGTTAGGCTTGCTTGACTTTCCAACCTGTAAGGTGAGATGGGTATATTTAACTTGTATTGTGATAAAGACTGCAACTTATCAAAATTCTAATCCATTTGGCTTTTATTCTCAAATTTCTTTTTCAATGACTTTTCAGTGGCTTGCTTTGGTGGAACTTGTGTTTTATGGGAAATAATCATTTCTTTTCTTTCAACGTATTTAATGGAAATTTATCTTTGTCATTGAAAATGAAGCTTAAGTGATGGGTATCTAACTTGATGAGTCACACAGCGGAGTACAGATTGACACTGGCACCATAGACTAATTTCGGTGTCATTCCATAGTTCTGCTCCTGGTGGATACCGGTTATACAGATCTTGCACAGTGGACATTGTAAAGGGGTTTTTGTCATAAGTGTGCTGCCCTACTGTTCACTCACAAATTTGGATTCGGTGCTCTAAGCTTGACTATTTATGGGTTTCACTTGCTGACAAGTTACTTGATAATTTGTAGGCTTCTTTCTTTGTATAGATAAATTTCTCATGGCTGTCACATTGGAACCAACTCATAGCAGGTTTCCAGAGGCAGTAAATTGCACTAGAGGAGACCACCCCTTTCTCTCACAGAGCAGCCGGTGAATTCAGACAGCCTGCTTTTAGATTGGCAGCACACTCCTTACCCACTAGGTCACCACAGCACCCTGTAGATAAGTGTTGTAGCTCTTGCTCTTGCTCTTGTGTACCATTGAGTCAGAACCAATCTGTAGCAGACCCTTCCACAAGTTTTCAGAGGCAGTTAATCACAGGGGAAGAGATTGCTTACCCTTTTCCCATGGACCATCTAGTGGATTTGAACCATGTGCCTTTGGGATTGTAGCCTAGTTTCTTACCATTAGGCCACCAGAGCTCCATATACAGAATAAATTTATATCTTTTAAAGAATATTCATAAAGGTTTTTCTCTATGTAATATGAAATAACAGGAACTGCTATCCAGTAAGATCTACCAAAGTTGCTCTTTTGGCTGCTAGACTTGGGATCTAAGTGACTCCTCTTCAGACATGCATTTGGTACGTAGCTCTGACACAGGAGACTGCCCTCTGCCACTCAGCACCCGCAGTCCTGTGTTTTATACAGTGTTCTTCTCTCCAGGTGTGAAGAACCACCCATGGAAGCTCAAAGGCTTATTCTAAAGTTGTGGGGGCTCTCAAATTCTAGCCCACATGCGAGTCCGCTGTCCACCCTGTACAACTCAGTTCTCTGGGCTTCACTCTGCATGTCTCATTCAGGATGTCTAGAGTATGAGAGCTTTGTGTTTTGGTGCCAGAATTTTCACCTTCTCTGCAGGAGACAGGTCTGGTTCCTGGATACACAGGTTTGCTCTCTGGTCCATGTGCCTTATGCAAAGCCCCCTCCTTTTTGTCAGTGGCGGGGCTTGTGTATTGCTCTCTGCCTAAATAAGCTTCTAGACTAAGATAGCCTAGGAAGAAAGACCTGGTGATCTGCTTCTGAAAACCAGACAGTGAAAAGTCTGTGGATCACAGAAGTCTGATTCATAACCAGAGATGGTGCACGTTTCCAGGACCACATTTTGAAAACCACAGACCAGAACAATGAAATGTGTTTATTAAATATTGTCCAAAAAGAGTATCTCAGAATTTACTGTACTTAAGAATAACCTGAGGATGCCTTTAACTGCTTCTGATTCAGTAGTTTTGAGGAGGCTTGTGAGATTCTCCATGTTCAGCGAGCTCTGGGTTCTGTCAGTCTAATTTGAGGAACATGTTGAAACAGTAGCCGTGTGTTCTTTGTTTTTGTACAACTATAATTTATTCTCCGTTGACATCTATTTGCCAACTGTAAGCAGATGAAAGAAATATAGCCTGTAATATGTGGTGGAAATTGCTTGGTTATTCTAGGAAGCAAAAGCAAAGATCAAAATAGGTTCACATTAGACCCAAAGAGTACATGGTTCAGACTCTTAACCACAGCAGAGAGTGAAGGTGGGCAGTCTCCTCCCGTGTTGAGTCAGACCCGGTGGCACAGTAGAGAGAGAGAAGGAAAGAGATCAACTTTAGAGCTTCATTCTACATCTTTTAAACTTATTACCTAGGAGACTTGTTGCTTCATGAAAAAACAGATGTGATATAAAACTAATGTTTTTTGCTTGGGTTTTTTTTTCCTTTCCCTTGTCAGATCCCTAACAACCTTGGGGTTGGTTATATCATCACTGGCTGACCAGGCAGCTGGCAAGGGTAAAAACAAATTTGTGCCTTACCGAGATTCAGTCCTCACTTGGCTTCTTAAGGTAAGGCATTGTTCTGCTGGGGGTTTTTTTTCCAACCATACATTGACTGTACATTTAAAATTTTACAGCCCAGAGGCATGTACAAGCTAAGTAAACATAGAACTCAAATGACAATATTAGTCATCCTTATTCCTAGGAATGCAGAGTAAACAGTATTTTCTATTATCTTTTTATTTCATTATAGGAGTAGTATCAGGAGCAGTATTATTAATATTATCTTTTTTCTAAAAGTATATTTATTTACAGTGTGGACAGAGAATGTGCAGCTGTTAAGACCATTTTCTCTTTGTATTGCTAAACACCACAAAATATGTACATAAATACAACCTAATTTGTTGTTGTTGTTGTTGTTACATGCAGTCAAGTCACCTGCAACTCATAGCAGCCCTATGCATAATAGCTCTGAACCCTGCCCTATCTTGAGCCAAACTGACTATCTCGGACTTTTCTACCCCCATTGCCCCAGTTACTGTATCAGTCTGTCTCATCCAGGGTCTCCCTCTCTTGTACTGTCGCTCCACCATTCCAAGCATAATGTCCTTCTGCAAGGGCTGGTCCATCCTGGAGACTGCACAAAGTATGTCAGATGGAGCTTCAAAATCCTTGCCTTCAAGGAGCAATTTGGTTTCACCCTCTCCAGGACAGACCTGCTTGTTCTGTTGCCTACTATAGGCAAAGATTTAAAAAAAATTTTTTTTAATTCTTGGTTTAACAAAATTGAGCATCAGTATTGGGGGTAGTACACAGCTTATTACTGAGATTTTAAATAAAGAGAACACATTTCATCTTGACATAGTTTCTGAAATCCAGACCTACTTCCATGGGGAATAATGTTATCTGTTCCTGGATACAGATTGCATCACAGGATGCCTCTTTTCCCAATGAGATATTTGAAATATTTTGCAGGACAATTTGGGGGGCAACAGCCAGACCTCCATGATAGCTACTATCAGCCCAGCAGCAGACAACTATGAAGAGACTCTCTCCACCTTGAGATATGCAGATCGAGCCAAGAGGATTGTTAACCACGCTGTGGTTAACGAAGATCCCAACGCCAGGGTCATCCGGGAACTGCGGGAAGAAGTGGAGAAACTACGAGAGCAACTCTCCCAGGCGGAGGTAGGACCGGCCGGGTGCTCCTGTGATTGATATTCTTGGCATGTGGTTTGGGACTGGTGAGGTTCAGCATTTTGGTGTTTATTGGTGTCTACTGTGTGCTAGGGGTCTGATCTGAGAGCTTGAACACCAAGAAGGAAACGAATAAGCTATACTGCCAAGCTATACTTGGCTGAAGGAAAGAGAAGAGAAGCTACGTCAGGCTCTCCTAGAATTTCTCTGTCATTCCCAGCATTAATGGCAGCCCGTGAACCCCGTGAGACTCAGGCCAGCTCAGCTAGCCACAGTTACCTCTCATTGTCCAAACTCTACCATTATTCTCATTCACAGAGTTTGACTCTGTAGAAGCTCATCTTCCTATAGGGTGTCACACTACCATTTTGCAAAGTCAAAAAACCTTTTTTTTTTTTACACTGCATGTTTGAATCCTTGGGATAGTCTCACTGTACCAACTCAGAGAAAAGCTACTGCCTTTCTAACCAGATGTCCTGCTTCCAAACAAATAATAAACGTGCTAAATGTATGCCTTGTCAATAGAGAAGGGCCCAGATTCAACTTTTCAAATAAATAAGAAAAATCTTCACTTTTTGTATTCTGTTAATAGAAGTGGAATGCATGTGTTGGTGAAAATGTATTAATCACTCTCTTACAGAAAAAAACCCACCCAACTTAAGTAGCTGCGGCGGGATGGTGGTGGTTTTATTTTGTTGGATTTTTAAGTTTTATTTTAACATAGATTCGCATGCAATATTCATATACATTGTGTTTCATTCATATACACTGTGTTTCACACATTCCTTCATTCACGTTGTGTTTCATGGTAACTTGGTTTTTGAGGGGTTTTGTAACTCTTGCTTTTTTTCTTTCAAAGATGAGCTTTAACGTCTTTCAGATACTTAAATGTGAAATTTAGCTATAATAAGTAAAATGATTCTGAATGGTTTTAATCACTTCAGATCAGGATACTGGTACATCCTTTTCTTAAAACAGCAGCAACCAAATTCTCTTCCAGTACTTTTGATTATTTAATATAAGGCCAGAACCCACTGTGAGTGATTATAATTGGATTATGTGCTCCAAATAGACCACTCTTAACTGCTTAAAGTGAGTCAGTAAATTATTGTCTCATATATAATGATGGAAAGAAATTCTTATCAGTTCTTTCTGTCGCATTTTCAAGGCTATGAAGGCCCCTGAACTGAAGGAGAAGCTTGAAGAATCTGAAAAGCTGATGAAAGAACTAACAGTGACGTGGGAAGAGAAGCTGAGGAAAACGGAAGAAATTGCACAGGTAGCTCAGTTGCTTAGGCCTGAAATGTGATTCTTTTTACAGTTGCTGTCTTTTTTTTTTTTTTAATTGCAATTTTAATGAAAGTTTACAGAAAAGTTGAATTTTCATCATTCATTGTTGCCCATTTTCCTCCCTCCCCCTCCTTTTGCTTTTCAATAACTTCTTGTAATCCTCGGAAAGTTTTTAATGACCTCTTCATGCTGAAATAGAGAAAGGAATTTTAGAGGCTAGAGAGTGGTGCTGCTGATCCAAACACACAGAGTTCGAATCCACCAGGGGCTCCATAGGAGTAAAATGAGCAGGCTCCTCCTGTACCATTTACTGCCCCAGAAAACTTGCTGGAGGTTTATAAGTCACTTCTAACTTGATAGCACTTAACAACATCAGAGAAAGTGCAGAGATTAGTGTAGACATCAAGTTTTTGTCCCATAGACTCTTAAAATGAATGAGAGGGTTCTGGCATAGTTCACAGTGTGTTGAACTGCTAACCGAAAGATTCCACATCTTTGACAATTCAGATACACTAGAAGTTCTTGAAAGGATGATGGCCTGTCTCCTCTCTTTAAGATTTACAGCCTTATAAACTTAATGGAGGGTTGCTATGACTGGAAGTCTGAATTTTTGTTTCAATAATGAGTAAATGAATGAATGACTTTAAGATCCTGTACAATATGAACTCAACTTGCTGCTAGTTACATATTCCACTATTTCCCGTATCCACGGGGGGTTCATTGTGCTTGAAATCATCCAGTATAACTAGAGTCTTCACGGGGCTTTCCTAGACCCTACCCCTAGAATGTTAACCCTCAATCTTAGTATTTTCCCATTCCTGTTGAAATTCTTACTATATTTCAAGACTATTCTCAAATGTATTTGCTTCTGGAATCCTTTCCTAGTACCTCCTTTTTCCCCCCCTTTAAATTGAGGTAAAGTTTCTAGACCATACAAAACCCTATACTCATTAAGCAGTCAGTCTTTACTTCTGTATCCCCTATGATCATTAGTCTATTTTCTGTTTCTATAGATTTCCCTGTTCTGGATTTTTCATATAAATAGAATCATACAATCTTTGACCTGTTATATCTGGCTTCTTTAACACAGAAATAACTTTTTTTTTTTTTAGGTTTCATCAGTATTGTAGTATGTATCAGAACTTCATGTCTTTCTTATGACTGAATAATATTCTTTTAAAGCATGTTTTTATTTATATGTTTATCCACTGATGCTCATTTGGGTTGCTTTTACTGTTTTTGGTTTTTCCTGATCTACTCACTTACCATGTTCTTTGTTCCTTTGAAGCTTTCTCCAGTGTCATCCCTCCAGTGACACAGTGCTCTCTTTCCTTGTGTGCTCAGTACAGGCCCCATCCTTAATGGATGTGGATCATTTTAGAGATGAACATGATAGCTCCTTCATCCTTGGTATTCTTATGAAACCGGAACAAGGTTTCACTAATCACAGATTCTCAACAGACTTGGTTGAACTGAGTAAAAGGTGTCAGTTTGTTGCCTTTGTCCTCAGTAACTCAAAACTACTGCTATCAAGTCAGTTCCAACTCAGAGTGGCCCTTCATTGGATTTCCAAGGCTACTTAGATCATTTCAAGAAGAGACTGCCATATTTCTCTCTTGGAGGAGATGGCAGATTCAAGCCCCTAACTTTTTAGACTCCTTGTTGCTGGAATTTTTCCATCTTGTGAGTAGAGTACCAGAATTCCCTGTGTCTGTGTGCTTTTGTCCATAGGAGAGACAACGACAACTTGAAAGTATGGGGATTTCCCTTGAGACGTCTGGCATCAAGGTGGGCGATGACAAGTGTTACCTAGTCAACCTAAATGCAGACCCTGCCCTCAATGAACTCCTGGTCTACTATTTAAAGGTAAGATAGTGTATAATATCATGATCCATCCGTGTATAACTACCAGGTGAATCAGGATACCTATCTATTATTTTATGTTTCGTTCCTAGCTTAGCCTTCATTGAAAGTGATGTCTAAACAAAAAAGCAATATAATCTATAAACTCACTCAAATGAAAACAGAAAAAAAAAGTGCAAAAATAGTTGAGTATTAAGACATCATCACTGAGAAGGAAAAGCAGCTATTCTCCTGGTGGTGTTCTGTTTGGGCTAATTTCTAGACACCAGCGGCTTTCCATGTGATTCCTAGCTCCAGGTGTGAGGTGACTCCAGGACTTAAAGAGGTTCTGAATAAAGCTATCAGGGTTCTGAGAAGACCCCGGTGTTCTCAGCTGAGCGTGTGATAATTCTAAAGTGAGCTCAAGATCAACAAAGGCTCAAAGCAAACCCTTGTGGCAGATTAGGTAGGTAGGATTTTTCCAGGTCTATGCTTTCTCAGTCACCCTGCTGGCCTACTTCATAGGCTGTTATGCTACTATCCAAAAGATCAGTAGGCTGAATCCACCAGTGGCTCCGAAGGATAGAAATAGACATTTTCCTTCTGTTGAGATTTATAGTTCAAAACCCAATAGGGGTTGCTGTGAGTCAGAATTAACTTGGTGGCATTACATTTAAGTCTTTCTAAAGAAGCCCTGGTGTTGTTAAAACATTATGAGATTAACCAAATGTTGGTTGAAGGGAGAGAGATGAGAGAATCTGCTTACTTTTCAGTGTACAGTCCTAGAAGACATTATAGATGGTTCTAATCTATCCTCTGAGATTGTTGTCAGGCAAAAATCACCTGCATTTGTTGTTGTATTTAAAAATTTGAAAAAATTTAGGAACTAAGGGAGCTTTGGTGGCCTAGTGGCAAGAAGCTGCACTGCAATCCCAAAGATGTGTGATTTTAATCCACCAGATGCTCTGCTAGAGAAGGTTGAGCAGTCTCCTGTGCCAGTCAGATCTGGTCAACAGCACACAACAAGAAGAACGAAAAAAAAGAAAAGTTTAGAGACGGAGTGGTACATTTACACACTAGAGTAGCGTGCACCACTAGGGGGAGAAATGAACAATCTGAAACATTGCATAACAGGGATTAATCCAGAGGACATTATGCTGAGTTAAATGAGTCAGTCACAAAAGGACAAGTATTGATAAGACTGATATTAGGAAAAGCCAAAGAAAGGTTTATATACAGAATCATACTACTGTGATTACCAAGTAGGGGAAGTGAAGAGTAGAAAATTAACTAACAAATAATATGGGTAAAAGGACAATATGAGATGAATGGGTGATCAGATACTATCGATATTATAATCCGTGTTATAACTAAAATGCACATGAATGAGTGATAGAAAAAAAACCAACAACAATATACTTTATGAACTTTTACTCAAGTCATAATTTTAAAAGAAGATTAGGAAATGATTGATTTACCAGTAAGAGTTCTCCTATATCTGAGATCTGCGGTATTTAAGATCTTCAGTATCAGAAAACTCTTAACATTTTATGTGTGTTAGAAACTTGACTAATTTTCTTTTTAAAATGAACATTTTTTAAAGTATGTCTATCCATGCAACTACTTTTACTGATTGTTTATATAGTGCATTTTGTCTTCAAAGCATTGTTACTGTTACCTTTGAAAAGAATCCTGTATTTTCTTCATTTTGTGAGGGGACAAAAAAGAACTGAGACTCAGAGAGTGAATGGACTTGAGTATAGTCACAAATCATGAAAGGCTGATTCAAAATTGAAATGCATCATAAATAGTCCACTTATCATTTTAGACAATCTCTAATCACTGTTTAAGTGTATTTATTTGCCTACTTGTGTTTAATAAAGGTTTTTAATATGTTAAAGGAAACTTTTGACATACTAATTCCCCAGATCCCTAGTGTCTCCTCTCTGGTTCGTTAATCACATTAGCTAATTGTGATGCATTGTGTAGAGTCACTTCTCAATGTGGGTTCTTTCCTCCCTGAATAATCTGTTTCTAGGCTCACACCAGGGTAGGTGCCGATACCTCTCAGGATATACAGCTCTTTGGCATAGGAATTCAGCCTGAGCACTGTGAGATCGACATTGCATCCGATGGAGACGTTTCTCTCACTCCAAAGGAAAATGCAAGGTAAGAAAGGAGGTGGCTGCATGGTGTACCATTTCACAATCCCACCAACAATGTGTAAGAGTTCCAGTAAATAAATGGTGTTTTTTTATATAAGTGGGGAGGGGAGAGAAAGGAGATGGCTATTTAACATGTCACCAATTCTTCATTTTCAGGAGAAGACTTTCCCTTTCTGTCTGTTTGCTTTCACTAGTCAAGGGTAAGGGCATGCAGCTGCCTTAGGGGGTTTGCTTTCCAGATGGAAAAAAAAAAACCAAGATGTTCCAACTTTTTGAAGAGCCCTCGTTTAGGATCACGCAGATTCTGCCAAGGCTTCCTGTATGATTTTGCAGTTACTCCCTTGTCTTCACTTCTTTTCCTTGTGGGTATATGTGCCTAATTCTTCGGTAGAAGTACCTACTTCTTAGGAATCCCTAAGATTAACTAAAGCAAGATTTATCAAGCACTTGACTCAATGTCTGATGTAAAAATATTGAATAAAATAAGTTGCCATCTTTCAGTATGATGTATTATGTAAGAATATAGTTAATCTTATTACTCCATGGCATAAAAATTTCCTTAACCAGCCATGTTGTTGTATGTGCCATCAAGTCATAATCAACCCTTAGCTGACCCTCCAGCAGGTTTTCAGAGACAGTAAATAAAACGGGAGGAGATTGCCCAGTGCAGAACAGCTGCTGGATTTGATTCAAACCACGTGCCTTTGGGATTGCAGTGCAGCTACTACCACCAGTCCACTAGAACCCTGAAAGCAGGTCACATAATATGTAAAAAAATTGAGAATGGTCAGGTTATATTTTCACTCTTTTTTCTGTCAAAAATAATGCCTTTCATTAGTTTATAACCAGATATACAGTTTAAGCAGAGTCCTATAAAATGTTCATTAACCCACAATTTCATTTAGAACACTAATTTTTAAAAATTTTATAGTGATTTATTTACAAAGTTTGAATACATTGTTTTTCACAAAAGATTCTTCCCATTTTCTTCACCCCACCCATCAAATTGTACAATGCTATGATTAACAGCCCCCCCCCCCCCCATCTGCTTCCACCTTCCTCCACCCACCCCACTTAGATCCTCATACTCGTTCTACAATAACGGTTTTATTCAGTATTTGTCCTTGTGGGACTGAATTAGTTCACTCAGCATAGTGTTCTCCAGTCCTTCCCAAGGTATGTAGTAATTTACAAAATTATTGCTCCTACGTGCTGTGTAGTATTCCATTGTATAAATGTACTACAACTTTTCAATTCATTTGTTTCTGATTGGATATCTGGGCTGCCTCCATGTTCTTGTGATGGTGAATAATGCTGCTATGAATATTGATATACAACTCTCCATTTGAGCCTCAGTTCTCATTTTCTTGGGGTATATTCCATGCAATGGAATACTTCGGTCATATGGAATTTCTGTGTTCAACTTTTTGAGAAAGCACCAAACTGCCTTCAAGAGTGGTTGTACCATTTTACAATCCCACCAGCAATGAATGAGAGTTCCTATCTAGCCACATCCTCTGCAATAGTTATTACTGTCATGTTAAACTTTGCCACTGCTGCTGGAGTGAGATGGTGTCTCATTATGGTTTTGATTTGAACCTCTCCTATTGTCAGTGATTTTGAACATTTCTTCATGTGTCTGTTAGCCATTTAAATGTCTTCCTCTGTGAAAACTCTTTCCGTGTCTTTTGCCCATTTTGTAATTGGGTTATCAGACTTTTTCTTGTGGAGGCCCAGGAGTATTCTGTAAACATTTGTTATGAGACTCTTGTGTGAGATGGTCCAACTAAATGTTTGTTCCTAGTCAGTAGTTTCTCCTTTCACCCTCTGGGGAAAGTTTTTGATGTGCACAGGATTTAATCTTTAGAAAGTCACATTCACCAATTTTATCCTCTTCAGTTTGTGCATTTCTGGCTATATTTGGCAGTTTCTTCATACTGTAGACTAGGCCTTCTAAACTTATCCCAATTTGTCTCTTATGAACTTTATGGTTTTGGGCTTTACTCCCCCAAGTCTCTGATCCACCTTAAGGTGATTTTTATGTATAGTGTGAGATGTAGATTCTGTTTCAGCTTTCTACAGGTGGCACTCCACTTTTGCTAGCACCATTTGTTGAAGAGATTGTCATTACCCCATTTGGTAGGTTTTATTTCCTTATTTAATATCAGTTGATGATACATAGCTGGGTCCATTTGAAGTTCTCAGTTCTGTTCCCTTGGTCTATGTGCCTATCATTGTACCATTACCATGTTGTTTTGGTTACTGCTGCTGTGTAGTAGGTTTTGAGGTCAGGGAGTGCTATACCTCCCACCTAATTTTTGTTTCTCAGAAGTATTTTGCTTATTTGGTGTCTCTTGCCTCTCCAGTTAAACTTGACAATTTCCCTTTCGATCTCCCTGAAAAATGAATTTAGTATCTGGATTGAGATTGCATTGAACATATAGATTGCGTTTGGTAGAATTGTCATTTTCACAATATTGAGTCTTCCTATCCATGAACAGGGCACATTTTTCCATTTCTTTAAGTATTCTATTGTGTCTTGCAGAAAGAAATCTTCTATAGTTTTCTTTGTTTAGGTCTTTTGTTTGTCTAGTTAGGTTCACTCATAAGTATCTCAAGCTGTGGTTGGCTATTGTAAATGGTATTAACGTTTTTTATTTCCTTCTCTGAGTCCTCTTTCTTACTGCAATATAACACTAATTTTTGTAAGTATGACAATCATTTCCGATCTTTCTGCCTAATGTAGGCTACATCAGTCGCTAAATGATGAAAAACAGATGTTAACATTAAGAGTAAACATAATTGTACATGAAAGTGTATGTCATAGAGACATATTAAGGGGTTTTAATGGTGAAATTGTATTCTGTGGTTTTTATTTATAGTGAGTTCAGAGTGTCTGTAGTCATACACAGAACCCGTCTATTAAACTGAAAACTCAAACACATTACCATCAAGTTGGCTCCAACTCGTAGAAACCCTCCGTTAGGTTTCTGAGGCCATAAATTCCAACAAGAGGAGACTGTCCATTTTCGTCAGTAGAGTCATTGGTGGCTTTGAACTGCTGGAGGAGTTCAGCCTTTGAGTTAGCAGCAGAACTTGCTATGGCTGACGGTATCCAAGTTCCCTTTCTATATTAAAAGAAGGTGGCAAAGTAGGAAACTGAAAAACTTCAGAGATGCCACAGTTTGATAAACTGGTAACAGTGGAACATTTAGGTACTTAAGAGTTCTGGGCATGGAAGAAAAAGTACCAAGAAAAGGACATGGAAGTTGAGGAAGTTATTTATGAAGATGAATTTAGTTAGGAATATAAAACAAGAAAGGGACATGGGATTAAGGTGTAGTCATTATTCCCTCAAATGTATCCTCAAGTTTACTAATTCTTTTTTGTTTTATCTTAACGACAATTTGGCCTAGTGGCAAGAAGCTGTGCTGCAATCCCAGAGGCACATGGTTCAAGGCCACCAGCTGCTCCATGGAAGAATGATAGGCAGTCTCCTCCTGTGCGAGTAACTGAAAACCTATCGAGGGTCAGCTATGAGTCAGTTCTGACACAACAGTGGACTTCTAGTGTCTGTTTTTCATTTATAGTGTGTTTCAGGAAGTTCTTTTTTTAAATACCTGGTCTCTTAAGGAGCCCTAGTGGTGGTGTGGTTAAAGGATTCAGCTACTATCCTAAAGGCTGGGTGTTTGAACCCACCAGTAACTCCAGAGGAGAAAAATGAGACATTCAATTCCTGTAAAAATTCACAACCTTGAAAACCCAGGTGGCATTTCTTTTCTGTCTACAGGATTTTGGTCTGTTTTGGAAGGACTTTATTTTTACTGACTTTCATGTGATTTTACTACATCTTATGTCTTCACTTTTACTACATTTTATGACATGCACTTGCTGTGTTGGCTAAGAGAATGTTACAGTTTCTAAGGTTTAGAGAGGGGAGCAGGGAGATCCCTACACCACTCTGGTCATTCGGTTTTTAGTAAAAAGTGAGTACCGGCTAGTTCATGGTTGTACTCATTGTCTTAATGATGTTCCCCACTAAGTGTCTACCTTTTCTGGCCTTCTGTTGTATACTGTCCATAGTTCAGGTATTCTAAGTGTTGTGGCCTACTTGAAATAAATCATTTTTAAGGTAAAAATAATTTTTATTTATTCTCTGATCAAGTAAGGTATTCCAGTGGCCTATCAGTAAGGAGTTGTGCTGCCAATCCAAAGGCAGGTGGTTCAGATCCTCCACTGCTCCTCAGGAAAAAGATAGGCATCTCCTTCTGTGGGATTAACTGCCTCTGAAAACCCAGTGGAAAGTCATTTGACTTGAGAACAATGAGACAAAGATGCCTTTGTTGTTGTTGTTGTTGTTGTTAAGTGCCATCGAGTCGTAGGTGATTCATAGCGACCCTATGAATGAAAGTCCTGGACACCTGGTCATCCTTTCTCCAGGTTCATAGGGTTTCTGGAGCCAAGCTATTACGGAAGTAGATGCCACTCCTGCTTCCAAGCTTGTTTTAATCGGAGAGTTCCACCTAACACTGTCCACCATGGGTGACCATTCTCGCATTTGACTCATCAGTGTCACAGTGTTCAGCTTTACAGCAACCACGAGTTACCTCTGTACAGCAGGTGGACATACCAGGGTTACACGACCTAGAAGAATGTTTCTCCAAAAACAATTAAAGGCAGACCTGTGGGCCGGAGAGTAGAGTCAACCCACCTTTGGCTTGGGAGCATGACTTTCTGTCCGCTAGGCCAACTGCTCTCTCTCTCTATGCTGTTGTTGTTACTGTTGCTGTTGTTGTTGTTGTTGTTAAGTGCTGTTGAGTCGTAGGCTACTCATACCGACCCTATGAATGAAAGTCCTGGACACCTGTATAACGTGTCCTTTCTCCAGGTTCATAGGCCCTTAGTAAGTTAATTTTTATTTATAGCTTTTATTTGAAAAATCTGTTTTCTGAAGTTGTAAGGAGTTGAATCCATCTAGCTCACCTTCAGCAGGGGCTTATATGTAGTTTTCTCGTGGCCTGCATTCAGAGTATGTGCATTCTTGCCAAAAGGTCTGGATTTGCTTCTCCCAGGCCCCCCTGAAGTACATGTCAAACTGGAAATTACTTTCTATGCTTACTGTTGACTTGGGTACATTCCCAGACAAGGCAATTTTAAGAAGTTTTCATAATGTTTTCTTTTTCATATTAAGGTAGTAAAAGTATGCTACAAATTGTAAAGAGATGTGTTTATGTATGTGGAGAACTAGGAATGTAAATTTGTACAGGATTTTACTAAAGATATAAAATATCACAAAATTTAGTAATAAGTCAGGAGATAATGCTTAAATTAATCATTTCAGTATTCCATTTCAATATGGAATCTATTTGCTCTGGACCTGTTTTGAGGGATTTTTTTTTCCTAAAATACTGCCATTCAGTTGTACTTTCTGAGATCATGACATATTTTCTTTCTGCTCTGTCCATGAAGGTAGTCACTCACCAGATGAGGTATTAAACAAACTATAATGAAATGGAAGAGATTAATTTTGTTTCATCATAGGTCAGAATTTTCAACATTATAAAGTTGAGTGGTATTTCTGTTATTAATTATAATGCTAGTCCTAGAATTTCTGAGATGTTTTTTAGATCATTAACAAACATTGTCCTTAAAAACAACTAAAATTAGTAATTGGATTTTTTTTTAAAGAGAGAGATATACACTTACTGAAACTTTCATTATCATTTCAACCAAATATGTGTGCATATATGAATTCATGTGTGTGTGTGTGTGTGTGTGTGTGTGTGTGTGTGTGTGTGTGTGTATCCATAAATAAACAGATATGGGTACTTATTTTTCTGAACTCTCTTTCCATTTTTGCAGATGTAGAAAGCTGTCCGTTAATCCAAAGAAATGGAGTACAAACTTGTGAAGCTTGAGTTACAATATTGAGACTTAGACATTTTGATTGGCATGAATAAAGGGAATGTGTTAGTGGAAAATATACTTACCAGAGTTTGTGTGTGTGTGTTTATAGCAGGTCAAAAACATTTATAATGGTATTTCCACCAATAAAAACTTAGTTATAGCATTGAAATATAACTGTGAAGGAGCGATTCTTTTCATATGCACATTCTTATTCTTCAACTCTGAGCTTCAGCATCATGGAGGAATTGAGTGTGATGGTGAGAATATGTGACAAAAGCAACTGTTTAGAAAACTAAACTCAAAATAATACTATTTTCTCCAGCAGGGAAAAAACTTTGTCTAACATTCTTCAAATTAAACCTGAACAGACTAATGATCATTCCTATTGTTTGGAATACTTTTTAAAAATATCTGCAAGCCTCTTTATTTAAGTGTAAGAAACATGAATAAGAAGGTGAAAATTTTTAGTGCTAAAAATTCAGAACTCCTTCCCTTGCTCAGAAAAAAATCACGATGGCTATGTTTTAACTGCATCAGATGATCAGTTTGTGATATCTTCTGAGAAGAGGAAAGCCCATAAACTCTTCCACAGTGGCTTTTACAGACTACTGACTTCCCAGCCCTTCAATAAATAGGAAGTAACAGCAGTAGGAATTCAAGTGGCACAGTGGTTAAATGATTGGCTACTAACTAAAGGTTGGTGATTTGAACCCACTCAGCAGCTCTTCAGGAGAAAGACTTGGTGATATACTTTCATTAAGATTACAGGCTAGAAAACTTTATGGGACAGTTCTCCTAAACTGCATATTGTTGGGGTTTTTTCTTTTTTTAATTAATTAATTTAATTAAATTAATTTTTTAATTAATTTTAATGAAAGTTTACAGAGATTTCCAGTCATTCATTGTTGTACTTTTCTCCCTGCCCACCCCCTCCTCCCAATTCACTCTTTTTCTTGTAAAGTAAAAGAAAAACTCTTTCATTGGTATGCAATCCTTCCCACCAAGTCCACTCCTTTGTTCAGCCTTCATTCTGGACTCCTGTAATGACAATAATACCCAGTCATATATCCCTCCCAAACACTTCTCTCGCTCATCTGTTTCAATGCAGTATACATCATTCCTCCCCTCCTTCTCTGTCTTTCCTCAACCCCAGTGTCAGATACTGTTTTAAGTTGGATCCATTCTAAAGCTCATAACCACCATAAGCCATAGCAAATTTGTAGTGTAAAGAGGGCTGCAGTGTTGGAAGAGCTCCTTTTTCTGCCAGGCAGTGACTTGTTTCAGACAAAGCCTGCATCCATAGGTTAACACAAACCCAGAGACACACAGCACACACACTATTTGTGAACTCTGACAGGATACATAGATTAGCACTCACTGCTAAGTGAAAGTTTGGCAACTAGAGGTTGAACCTAGTTCAAACTAGAGAATCCATAGGATGAAACTCTGGGGTTTGGCTTCTGAAAAGGTTACAGTCTAGAAAAGCTGAAATTCTTTTTCAATTTCCTGCTAACGCTTTCTTTTGGAAAATTTCAAACATGTAGAAATGAGAGTGACTAGTGTAACAAAAGCCCCCTAATGTGTCATCAAGCTTTTAAAAAATTACTCAAATCATAGAAAATTTGGAATTTGTAGCACACCTTCTACAGACTAGGCCACCAGAGTACTGTACAAGGACCATTGTGTTTTACCTGTACCCTCTTTACATGTCTCTTGATTACGAAATTCTAAACGTTACATCACAGCATCTGTAAATATTTTCATTGTATGTCTGAAACTATATGAAGACTCTCTTTATAAAATAACGTTAGTACTGTTATAACTAAAAAAGTTAATAATTCTTAAGTGTTTATAGTAAGTCTTATTAGTATTCAAACTTAGCCAATTTTCTCCTAAATTTCCCTTTTCTGAGAAGACCCAACATTTGTCATTTGTTGCTGTTTCTAGTAGGTCTCTTTCAGCCTAAGGGCTTCCTCTGTTTCCTCCACCCCAGGATTATAATTTTTTTCTTTTTTATTATTTTTTGTGTGTGTACCGTCAAATCAGATCTGACTAGTAGAGGAGGAGATTGTCCCTCCTTCTCCAGCAGAGCATCTGGTAGATTTGAGCCGCATACCTCTGGGATTGCAGTGCAGCTTCTTGCCACTAGGCCACTAGAGCTCCCTTAGGATTATAATTTTTAAAGACAACTAGTTGCTGCCCTAGGCATGCAGTTGAAGTCCACCATCTATTCCATGGGAGAAGGATGAGTAGTCTCCTTCCATTTGATGCAGTGTCTCTGAAAATTCACTCTGGTGGTCTAATGGTAATAAACTATGCTGCGATCCAGAGTTACGTGGTTTGAATCTACCAGATGCTCCACAGGATACGTAGTGGTAGACTCCTCCTGTGTGATTTACTGACCTCTGAAAACCCACTGAAGGGCCAGCTGTGAGTGAGTTCCACCTCAACAGCACACTACAACAACAATTGCTGCCCTAGAGTTTTCCACAGACTGAATTTCCTCCATTGCATCCCCACTGTGCATTTCATATTTTTAGTGCTCTCTTTGCCAACAACAACTGTGTTTCCCAAGTTAGTATTTAGATAAAGAAGCTTGCCTGGATTCAGTTCAAAATTTTCCAGGAACATTCCATTGGGTCTGGCTGTCTCTCTTTGAGGAAGATTGGTTGTGGTTAGTTGCTGTCAAGTCGATTACTCATACCAACCCCATGTGACAGAGTAGAATGGGCCCTATAAGGTTTTCTTTGCTATAATCTTTACCTCGACAGATATCCAGGTCTTCTTCAGAGCTGCAGGCAGAACCTTTCGGCTGGCAGCCAAGCTCTCAAACCATCAGGACTCCTTTGAGAGATGTTATCAGCCTTCAATCATTGCCAACAGCCCAAACTCTATGATGGTTACCAATGTTGATATTCTAACCCTGTTACTACTTCTACATGTATTAGGTGGAATACTTCTCTGAATTCAAAGTTCCCCTTTGGCTTGCTAAGCTGTGTCTATGCTCCTTTCCTCCATGTTCTCATCTTTTGGCCATTGCCCTGTGTTTTCTCAGGTCCTGTGTAAATGGTGCCCTCGTGTGCAGCACCACCCAGCTGTGGCACGGCGACAGAATCCTCTGGGGAAATAACCACTTTTTTAGGTAATACCTTTGCATTCAATAATTGCACATAAGGAATAACCCTGTCATTAAAGGACAAGTACTGTATAAGGGCACTGCTATAAAAATTAGAGAAGGGGTCATATATAAAGAGAATCAATCTACTATGTTTAGAACGGTAGCAAATTAATAAGCAATGAACACTGTTGGAATGCATGAAGGGAAGGACAATGTGGAATGAATAGACAATCAGACATTCTTTATATTTTCATTAACATTGTGGAGCAAAATATGCATTATTGATATTTTTTAATAAAATACAATGTGTAAAAAAATACAATGTGGTGTGCTCATGAGTCAGGCTTTGTGTTGCTGTGCAAAAAAATACAATATGTTTTGCAAATATTCACATATATCACAACTTTAAAATGTTTTAAATAGTCATAATAAAAAATATGTACAATTAATATTAGAAGATTTTCATTTCTTTTAAAAAATAATTGCCACAAAATATATACATTATCAGCTTAAGTACAAAGCATATTGGTTCTCTCTGATGGTGAACACCCATTCCCCTCAGAATTAATCTGCCAAAGAGGAAGCGGAGAGACTGGTTGAAAGACTTTGAAAAAGAAACAGGTCCACCGGAGCATGACTTGGATGCAGCCAGTGAAGCGTCCTCAGAGCCAGACTATAACTATGAGTTTGCACAGATGGAGGTGATCATGAAAACCCTCAACAGCAATGGTAAGATTCTGACTCTTCCTTACCTCACACCATTCAGAGAGCGAAGAGTATGTACAAAGTTAGAGCCCATCTAAAAGGAAGACACAAAGAAGCACTAATTCTTTGCATTAGCACAACTCCCTATGAACTTTGTTCCCTCAAACTCCTCTTGGAAGCACTAATTCCTTTGTAGCCACTGGTGAGAGGCTGCATTGAAGATTCCAGGAGATAATCTACTCAACAGTACCTTTGCAGAGATATCTTGTTCCCAAGCCAGATGATGACATTTGCAAGGTCCTAGGGTGCTGAGTGCTTCTGAGGAATTACTCATCAAATTTCTCAGTTTTGAGGCTGTCATTACTCAGTCCTTCAGGACATGAGATCGCCAAGGTTGTAGGAATTCAGAGATTTCAATTAGAATGTAATGGAAAGATGAGAGCCACAGTATTTTATTGTAAACGTCTGAGAAATCATACCCTCAAATAGGCCTAGTCCATGAGCCCGCTAGTTTTTACAAAATTGATTATAAAAATCAAATACCTTATCAACTGTTTGGGTGACTTGTACCCCAGCCTGTGTCACACTCTTCAGAAAAAACTTTCCTAAACATTCCTCCTCAATCACCTTCCAGAAAGCTTTCAAAGTTTCTGTTAACATTTGTCCTCTCCTTGGCTGAAAGTCAGTGTTCTTTTAACCCTTCTTTCTTCCTCTGAGCACAAACACACTCATGTGCACTCAGTAAAACACATGCCAGAATCTTTCCTTTCTCATATTTTAGGTCTTTCATTCCTTTTCCATGTTCCTCAATCTCCCAGAAAGAGAACAGGCAAGCTTGATTTATCAGATACAAACAGTAATTAATTTACAAGGATAAAGTTGAGGCTACAACCAGTAGCACTTGGGGAAACAGCCAGTTAGTCCCAGGGCTTCTGCCAACCTTATTTTCCGCATTCTTCTGGTCTTTGAGTACCTAAAGGTTCCCGTTGTGAACCAGGAGGACTTCTAGGGACACTGAGAGTTCTAAACCAAGCCACACTGCCTGAAAGTGTTCTTAGAAAGCATTTTGTCTATTGTATTTTAATTCTTCTTTAAATATTTTCCCTTGCTGCTCTTTGATGAAGCCTATCTGGAAAAATCTGAACATGAGTAACGAATTGGTACTCAGATCTCTGGCATATCAAATTGGAAATTTTGTTGTAGGAGTTACTTTTGTCTTTTTTATTTCTCTTTATAGGATTTTAGCTACAAGAACCTTGGTTTTTAATTCTAGAAAAGCCTTGTTTTTGTGTGTCATTGAATCGGAACAACTCATGACTGGCCTTCCCGTGAGTTTCCAGAGGCTTTAAATCTCATGGAAGGAGATTATCCATCTTTCTCCCTAAGAACAACTGATGGATTCAAACCATGTGCCTTAGAGTTGGGATCCCGGCTTTTTACCACTAAGCCAGCAGAGCTCCCTGAGGAAAAGGCTAGATTCTGAAAAGCAAGCAAATTCACATATTGCTAAAAAAGTATAAAACAATAAATCAAATAGGGAAAAGACTAAATAACATAAAAAGGTTTATAATTTTTCAATTCAAGCATCTTTAAGATTAGAGTATTATAATGAGGTATTGGGGCTATTAACTATTGTGTACTGCTGCAGAGAATGAATAAAAATTAAGTTTTGCTCCACTCTGCTATTTGCCTGGCAAACTCGGAGGAATTCTGCAAGACTTTCCAAAATGATATTCAAACGTTGAAATCAGATCAGTGGATCACGTTAGCAACATGCCTGGGCAGCATGTCTCCTGTGAGTGATTTTCTGGAAGCCTGAGTTGGTACATACCATGGCAGGGTGGGACAGGAAGGTGTGGACTCCAAATCCCAAAGTGGAGGAACACCTATTTGGAGCCCCTTTCTTCAAAAGGGGTTATAGAATTCTTGACATCTCTATTCTCTCCTTAATTCTACAGGGGGCCCACTTTATGCATTTCAATCACAGATTTCTAATTTTATTCAATTGCAGCGTTCTTAAATCCTTGCATTACCAGTGAGTAGACAGTAATTGTAAATTCCTCCAGTCTTTCTAACCAAACCATGTAGAGCCATCATTAATCTAAGTCATTTTGGTCACATGACCGATCCATTTCTATTCCGTAGTAAGTCTTGCTCTACACTGTTGATTTTATCTGATAATGATTCCACCCCCTCACTCCTTACTCATTCCACAAGAAATAGGACTTCCCCGCACAACATACAGTCATGTTCTCATCCATGCATTTCAGCCCCGCCTGGCTGCCTGCCTGGCTCGTGGCTAGACAATGTTTAAAGCAATTTCCCTTGCTACTAGGTGGCTTCCCGATAATAAGCCTTTCTGCCTGGTGGTCATCCCCATGGTGGTCCTATCTGAAGATCCTCTTCCCTCTTGTGTGGTTTCAGACGAAGCTCCTTCACAGACGCTGGGAGAAAGGTTTTTAATGGATCAGCCTTAGCATGCGGGTGCTGGTTGGGGGTTTGGCAGTGCTGCTGTAATTGATGCGTGTGCTCCATGCTTCGGCAAAATCTAACAAACATGATGGGGATGAAGCTGAAGCTTTGGCTGGCAAAACTACGCCATTCTTAGTGAGAAATATTACTTTTCAGTTATGACACAGGTGCACACACACACAACCCCCATTATGTCCCAACACCATTGTATCTGCTCAGTCCTTAAACTCTGGTAGCTGCCACTTCCTTGTGTATCCAATATATTTAAAAGTGTCACTGATATTCCTGCTATTACTAGTGGGTCTGTTACTCTTGCTGTTACAACAGCCTATGACAGTAGTAATTCCAGATACATATTCATATACATTACCTTGGTAATAGACTAGGATAATATAATTTTTAAGTCTCTAGAGACTTAAAATTATCTAAACCAATTCATTTGATGTAAATGAAAAGAAATCATGATGTCTGTGGAAAATCATGTCCTCTTCCTAAGGACTCACAATACAAACTGGGTGATCATCTATTTCTGTAGTGTCCGTGAGAGCTCTAAATAGTCTAAGAGGCTGGAAAGGGGTAACATAAGGTCGCCTTGAGTCAGAGAGGACTTGATGGCAACAACAACAGGAGAGATCACAGATCCAGCATAACTATCCAGGATTAAAAGGCTCTTCTCTTTTTTTTTTTTTTTTTTACCTCCTAAGGATCTACTTCTCTTGACCTCAGTTCTTGGGTATTTTTGTGTAAATTAATCTTGTTTCTTTACATAAATTCCCTTCCACCACCACCATCTTCCCTTTACCTTTTTTAGGAAGGATTTAAGCTTATTTTCCGGGTCTTTATTAAGTGAAAAATGAATTAATGAAGAGAAAGAGCTATATCTATTTAAATGTAGTCTTCTTCTAAAAATATCTGACATATCTATCTTAGATGTCAGGCTTGTTGATTTTTATAACAGTTCATTGAAAGGGAAACTAAAAGCCTATGTAAAATCTTAGTATTTGACCGAGGGTGAGAGCAGGTCAGATCTCTGGATTCTCCCTTGGGCTTTATTACGTAAAGTCAAATTGACTTGCTGAGTCAACTCCTATTTAAAAATCTGAGTAATCTCCTATTTTTTTTACAAAAAAAAGGTGAAAAAAGGTGGTGCAAATTGAATCTGGTGGCACAGTGGTTAAACACTTGACCGCTAACCAAAAAGTCAATAAGAGAAAGATGCGGCAGTCTCCTTCCATAAAGTTCACAGTCGTGGAAATCTTTGGGACAATTCTCTGCCCTGTGTGGACAGATGATCTCTACTAGTTAGAATTGTTTCTACTAGTTGGAATTCTTTCAAGAGCAACACGTTTGAGTTTTTATTTCTTTACAGTGATGAGAGAAGTTCCTGGCTAGTGTAAATGGTAAACATAATTGATAGCTAAACTGGAAGGTGAAAGATTTGAGTCTGGGTACAGAAGTACTTCAGAAGACAGGCTTGATGATTTCATTAGCAGTGTCCAAAATATCAGTCACTCTATGAAGCAGAGTACTCTGATCCACACGTGGGTACCATGACTTGGAATCAACTTTATGACAACAGGTTTTATAGTGGTAAAAGCTTGAGAGTGGTTATGAAGGTATGCCTACATTTCCACACTAGACTTGGAATCTGAGGTAAAACCAAATTTTCGCTCCTGTGGCTCTCACAAAGCTGCTTGCAGCAAGCGCAGACCAGGGAGTCCCCCAGGGCAGCTCTCACAAGGTTGTATGCTGTGGGGCAGTTGGGGGAAGAACATTCTGAGTTGCTCTCTCTGTGATAGCTGCCCACTGATTTGTGGCCATAGCATGTGTACCTGGTGCATACAGGTGGTGCTGCATCATAGCACTGATTGCCAGTTGCCATCAAGTTGGTTTCAAATCATGGTGACTCCCTGTGTGTCAAGTATTTGAATGCCTAGGGCCTCCTTCTGAGGTGCCTCCGGGTAGATTTAAACTGCCAATCCTTTGTTTACAAGCTAAGAGCTTAATGTTTACTCCAGCTAGAGACTCCTTGGGAGCTTCTTGGGAGTAAGCAGTTGTTAGTTGCTGTCATCAATTCCAACTTAAGCCAAGCTCGTATTTGTTGGAGCAGAACTCTGCTCCCCAAAGCATTTTCAGGGCTGTGACCTTTTAGAAGCAGATTGTGAGATCTGTCTTCAAGGAGCCCTTGAGAACCATCTGTCTTTCAGCTAGGAGTTGAATACTTAACCATTTGTGTCACACTCTGGCAGCTTCTTAGACAGTTCAAAGAGCCTCTGCCATATTGTCTCTGCACTGGCATAGAATCTTGGGGTACAGCCTTCTCAATCTCAACCTTTTGGGATCATGTGGTTTTTACACTGATGATTACCAAGAAGATGAGAGAGTTAAATATCTTCTTTAGAGTCTTTCAACAAAAGCCCTTCAATATAATTTTACAAAATGGTGTTTTTCTTATCTGGAAAAGATTCATTCACACTAAATTAAGGCCCTTGAGGATAAGATTCTATATAAATATGAATGGATTGTGTTAATTAAAAAATAACAAATCTTTATTATATCTAAATATAGAAAGTATCTATATTATTTGAGAATTATGTTGTTGTTGTTCTTGTTAAGTGCCGTCGAGTCAAAGTCAACTCATAGTGACCCTATGAATGAAAGACCTGAATACTTGTATAACTTTAATCCCTTCTCCAGGTTCATAGAGTTTCTAGAGGCAAGCTATTTTGGAAGTGAATACATTCCTGCTTCCAAGCTTGTTTTAGTCAGGAAGCTCCATCAAACACCGTCCACCAGGAGTAACCATTGTCGCATTTAGCACATCAGTGTCACAGTGTTTAGCATCACAGCACCATGAGTTACCTCTGTACAGCAAATAGACACACCACAGCTATACCGTTTAGAAGAATGTTTGAAGAATGTTTGACCAAAAACAATTAAAATCAGGCCTTAGGGCCACACATTAAAATCACTCACCTTTGGCATGGTAGCATAACTTTCTATCCTCTAGGCCAAAGAATCTAAATTATTTGAGAATTATAGTTCATAAAAATTCTGAGGGGACTTTTGTTCTTCTGAATAACCCCATCTTTACGTTTTCAGGAGGAGCATCGGCTTTACTGCCTCTGAAAACCCACTGCAGGGTCAGCTATGGGTCAGTTCCAACTTGACGGCACACAACAACAACAACAATCTTTACATTTAAATTATTTTTCAGACACCTTCAAGTGGGTCTGTCATGTTTTTACTATTTTCTTCAGAAGTTATGGGGCCGTGTTGTTTTGTAGAATATGTCTTATACACCCTAAGTCTCCTGTTGAAGTTATTTTTCTGAATTAATTCTTTATTCACTTCTCAAGTGGCATATCAGAACTATATAAAGAAATACATTCTTTGGGGGTGGAGGGAACTCCACATTTTTTTTTCTTTTATTTGCCAAAAACGGTATTTTAAAATTTCTTCTCTTTGCCAGAGTACTTAAAATCCAAGGCAATTTGAAGGATAGGAACATTCTGTGGATATATTACTAAGTTAATGCCCTATTTCAGCCGGTAACCGATCTGAGTATAAAAGTTGGCTCTATCACTTATCAGCTGTGTGACATTAGACCATCTACTTTACTTTTCTGAGCCTCAGTTTCTTCATCTCTAAAATGGAGATGATATACAAGGCTTTTGTGAAATTATGCATGCCTGTGATATAACTCTACCTGAAATATAGTCAGTACCTAGTAGAATTATTAATGCCATTCTCATCCTCATTTTTAATACTACACTTTAACCTATATGCTTTGTATTATGTGATTTTTTAAAATTGCTCCTTGCGCTTTGATTTGCATTATTTAACCCTATTTTTTTAAAGAAATAGCATTTTTTCTCTATATCATTCACAATGAAAGTAAGTGTAGTTTGTGTTTGTTTCATAAATTGATACTTTTTTGAGTCAATCAGTAGCCATCATCAAGTGATACAAAAACTTCTCTTGAGTAATGACTTGGTCTTTCTGCATCTATGCTAGAAATTTAACTAAGAGCCAGTTTATGAGAGCACAACACAAATAGCAGAGTAGCAGGCAAATATGTGAATGGTCAAGGACCGAGAAGCAAACAAATGCATGAATGTGCAAGAAGGAAGTGATGTCCTGGACTAATCTGAGAATTTGATTATTGTAATCTATGTACTTGAAGGAAATGTTGCCTGTACTGTTGGATTTTGTTTTTACCAGCTTTTCTAACATGGTGTTTCTCTTCAGTCATCCCGCTCAGGGATGACAGTGCTTTCCTTCTTTGTACTTCCGGCCAGTGCCTTAACCCTTCTCCACGGCATCCATTTCGTTGGTCACAAACTAATGTTCCACCCCAGTCAGTTAGCTCTTTATTGTTCAGAACTACCACTAAGCATTGTGGTGAAATCCTTGACTGTCATCCATTAACTGACCCATGTGTACATGTTGTTGAGCTCTGGCTTTGTACCAGGTAGGTGCTAGAAGTAGTAGCCTTTTCATATTTTTTGCCTTTTATAATTTTCATATAAATTGCCCTCTTGGATATTGTTGTTGTTACGTACCATTGAGTTGGCACAGTCCCATAGCTGACTGTCCAGTAGTTTTTCAGAAGCTGTAAATCACATGTGAGGAGAGTTCTCATCTTTCTCCCACAGAGCAGCTGGTAGATTTGAGCCCTCTGCTTTTGGGTTGGCAGAGCAACTCCTTACCACAAGGCCAATATTAGCACCCAAGAAATTGCCATACGGTATACATATTTATACCTCAGTCAGCGACTATCTCATTATTCACATTTATGACAGTAGTACAAAAAACTCTTCTCTGCAAATATTTTACACATAACACATGTTGGATAGTAACAAATATTGAGGTGTGAGGTAAGAGTGGCTGCTGGATGTGATGATGTTTATAGTGTGTATCACTGTAACTGTGCCAGTATTCTCAGTGATCTGGCAATTTTGTAAAGAGGCAGCTTGGCAGGTACAGGATGATGAAATTTGGCAGTTACCTAATGATATGACTTTGTTATGTAATGATACAGTCAGCTTCCATTTTTTAATCTGATGTGCTCATTCTCTATTTTCACATCACAGTAGTTTTAAAAAAAAACTTGGTCTTTGGAGACAAACATGTTGACTAGTTGTATACTCACACAATATTTTCAAGTATTTGTTGTGAGTTGCTGGTTTCTCCCTCAATAGAAAAATTTTACAATAATTAGATAAATGGTTAAAAATTTTATTATATATGTATATACATATGTACCTATATATATGTATATGCCATTTGTCATAAACCAGAACTGAAGCTGAATGGGCATAGAAACTGGCCACTAGTAAAATCTTTTGTGGTCTCTCTTCGGAGTTGTATTAGTGTTCATAAGTTTTCCTTCTCACTGGATACAACTGCACCCTCTTTACTTCTCCACCCTCTGTTGATCTATTGAAATGTTAAGGTGAGTGCATTAAGCTGAAGAAAGTAGATATGAGGACTTCTTATGTAGCAACATTTGTCTAACATGCTAGTGAACAGACGTTTGAGGTGGTGTTATTTGACAGCCCCATCAGGTCTCTCCCAGAGATTGTCTGGTTCTTGCTGGGGGAAGATTGACTGACCACTGATGGAATCTTCACTTTGTCTCCTGACTCACCAGACCCGGTTCAAAATGTGGTCCAGGTCCTGGAGAAGCAGTACCTGGAAGAAAAGAGGAGTGCCCTCGAGGAACAGCGGCTGATGTACGAACGGGAGCTGGAGCAGCTCCGCCAGCAGCTGTCCCCTGAGAGACAGCCCCAGAGCAGCAGCCCTGACCGCCTGGCCTACAGCAGCGAGACGGCACAGCAGAAGGTGACCCAGTGGGCAGAGGAGAGGTAAGGCCAGCGACCTCGACCTCGACAGCTTTAGGGGAAGGGCTTGTGAGGCAAGTCAGAGGAGGTCAAGCCTTGCAAAGACGGAAAGGTTTAGCTCAACTCCATATCTGGATTGTCAACCCTTGGCTTGTCCTTTCAAAAATATTTTCCATCTGAAGTATGTAGTTAATTTGATATGCTAAAATATGTACTTTGGTATTAGTTTTCCAAGACTGGCAGCCCCATCCCATTTAACCAACGGCATTCAGATTGACACTAAAGAAAGGACTGTGCTCCATTGGGTTTTCAATGGTTCATTTTTTTTAGTAGCTCTTGAATCATTTCTTCCAAGACATCTGTGGGACCCCCAGCCTATCAGTTAGCAGCTGTGTTTCCATCACCTAAGGAATCCAGGAAAGCCGGGAAGGCATCTTCAGTAGCATCTTTGTGGTGTATCCCCTGTGTTATTTCTAAAGTAATAAATAAGGAGTCATGATGTTGGTTTTAAGCAAGCTCTAGTAGCCTAGTTGCAAGAAGCTGCACTGCAATCCCAGAGGTACGCAGTTCGAATCCACTAGATAGATGCTTTGCTGGAGAAGGAGGGGCAGTCTCCTCCTGTACCATTCAGATCCAATTTGACAGTATACACACAAAATAAAATAAAATAATTTTTTTTAAAAAAAAAGATGTTGGTTTCAAAGGACATCCTTTTCCATGATGTAAGGGGAAAGGGTGTAAAACAGTATCTGCTAGACTGAGTTACCTTTGATCCCAGATTCAACTGTGAAACCCAAAGGTGCTTTTTTCTTCCATTCAATGAGTGTTTATTGAATATCCTGTAGTGGACCAGGCACTTGGCTGCAATTAGGCTGCTGTGTCACAATCTGTTCCCTAAGGATTCTTGCTAATGTTTAATTAATCAAATAATGATGTAAATACATGAAAAATTACACCTATGATAAATGCTACGAGATGCAATATTGAGAAAACCGTTGAGTCTGACTCAGTCACAGTGTTACAAAGAACGTTTAATCTTAAAATGCTATTTTGTAAAAAGTTAAAAAAAAATAATTCTGTCTTTCTAACTCTAGGTCCTGTTCGCCTAAACATTCAAATCATAATCATTGTCTTTTGTTGCTTTGTTCTGAAAGATTGTTTTCTCCCCCGCTCTACCTTTATCATTATTATATCAAAATCTTGCCAGTTCTGAAATGGTAAAACATTTAGAGCATGATTTTTAGTTGAGCCAGTTGACAAATTTGCTTGATTGTTGTTTGTTGTTGTTGTTGGAACTGACTCATAGCTTACCCCCCCAGTGGGTTTTCAGAGGCTGTTGATCACATGAGGAAGGCTTGTCCATCAGAGCAGCCAATAGATTCAAACCACCAATAGATTCAAACTACCGGCCTTTGGGTTGGCAGAAGCCACTTACCCACTAGGCTACCAAAGCTTCCTTTGTGATTAGTGGTTCCCAGCAGAAGGCGCTGGATCTCCAGTGTGAGGAAGGCAGGCAAGGAGATAGTCTGATAAAAATGGGTGCAAATACTACCTAAAAGGAGTTTTCTTCCATTTTCTAATAATACCACTTGCTCAGCAACAAGATAGTAGTTTTCTCTTCTTCTAGATTTTCTCATTTTCTTTCTTGCTGAACCACAGGGATGAGCTCTTCCGACAAAGCCTGGCCAAGCTTCGAGAGCAGCTCGTGAAAGCTAATACACTGGTGCGGGAAGCCAACTTCTTAGCTGAGGAAATGAGCAGACTCACTGATTACCAAGTGACCCTTCAGATCCCGGCCGCAAACCTCAGTGCCAATAAAAAGGTAAGAGGCGTTGTCAAAGAAAACAGGAGATACGCAACAGGAAGTACTTGTAAAATAAAATATAAAACCAACATCCCCTCTAAAAAAAGTCAGGAGGAGAGTCAGATAAACCAGGAGTATTTATTCTTTTTATGACTTCCTCTGTAGACTTTCTCAGATAAGAATTGCTGTTTAAACAATGCCCTTACATTTTTTTATGGTCAAGATATGCAGAATATGGATGTTTAAAGAGCTTGTTCATCTAAATGCTTTCTTTAAAATAGTAAAGCTAAAAGAACTAATGAATATTCATGCTTGTCTTTATCTTTCATTAAAAAAAAAAAAAAAGAACCCAACAAAAGCACCAAAACTCTTTCTGGGTAACCTAGTGGGTAAGGAGTTACACTACCAGCTCAAAGACAGGGAATTGGAATCTACTAGCTGTGTCAATAGAAGAAAGATGGACAGTGTCCTCACATGCTATGTACAGCCTCTGAAAGGTCACGAGGGTCAGCTACAGCTCACTTGTATAGAAAGAAACACAGCAACAACATGATAAAAGTTGTCTTTTACAGTTCTAACTTGATGGCTATGAATTTGAGTTTTGTATTCTAACATATCTAGAGGTATTATAAGTGATCTCTTCAAAATATGATTTTAATGTTGGACATGTGTGGTTATTTACTGAAGCCCCCACCCCATTTGTGTTAACAGTGGATTCCCAGGCCTTATAAATTATTGTCTGTCAATGCATTTCAAGTTTAAGAGACTGATTTTATTGGACTTTCTAAAACCACATTAGGGAGCTCTGGTGGCCTTGTGGAAAGAAGCTGTGCTGCAATCCCAAAGGCATGTGGTTCAAATCCACCAGCTGCTTCACCAGAGGATGAGCAATCTTCCTGCCATGAGATTTACTGCATTTGGTTCAGACTCAGGGCACACAACAACAAAAGCATATTAGCACTAAGGAACCAAACTTGAAATATTAAATAAGAAATGTAAGTCCAGGTTAGCATGTTACTTGGAATTTTATGTTTGTGGAAAAATTAAAGGCTATGTTAACAGTACTATTTCCTTCATTCCAAGCAAGTGGTAAAATAAGCATTGTTTAAATGTAACTTGATGTTTAGGGTATAAATACAGTCACAGCAGTGGAAGGAAACCAATTCTATGCAATTTTATTTGCATATTTAAATTATAGCACTGCTAAATAGATATGTCTCTAGATAATTTTTTTAGTTACTTAGATTTCTTTGGGGAAATAACTTTATAGCCTTTTGCTGTTCATAGGAGGTAAGCCGCCTGGATGGAAGTGGGCTAACAACTGCAAGGTCATTCCAAGATGTCAAGACAGCTCGGTCCTGACTAAATGCTTCTTCATGTGTGTTTAGAGTGAAAATTCTACCTCTCTGACTTTAGAACTTGAGTCCCCTACTTTTGGGGTGGCCTACTGACATGGTCATCTTTTTACCTTCACTTTTGATAATAAGAAAATCATAACAGTTGCCAGAGAATTCTGTATGACTCCGCAAGTCACATTTAAAACAGACTTTAGTGATCAGGTTGGTAGTGAGTAATTCCTTAAGGGAAGCTTCTTTTTTTAATCTAAAAAAAAAAACCACATTAATATTTGGTAACAAGAAAAACCAAGAGGCAGTCGTCAGAACAGAGCAGGGCAACACTGCATGGTTCAAAATTGGGAAGGGTGTACGCCAGGGATG